AGCCCTCCAGCTTGGCGTGGAACGAGTAGCGCATGGTAGCTCCCATGGGGAAGGTGTTTGTGTCGGGGTTTACCTCCTCGCGGGTGATCGTCGCGATGGGGAACCACCCAGTGGGCTTCCGTGGCTCTACTTGGCTGGAAGGTTGCCGGTTGTCCTTTGCAGCGGGGGTGCTGGTACTTCACGTCGGGTCGCAGCTGATGGATGCGGTGGCATGCTGGCGTCGTTCCCATGAACCGTGCTCCTGCTGTGCCATCTCGCCCTCGTAATCGATGTTGTCATTTGGCTGTTCTGCTGCGCCTTCCTTGGCGATCGGCAGGGTCGGCGGGGCCTCGAATATCACTGGCTGCGTTCCTGAGACGGGCCCACTTTGAAGGGAGACTTGGCGAGCTGGTATGGAAGTCGCCTGCAAGGGGGTGGTTGCTGGCATTGTGCCGGCGATTGCACTGCTACTGGCAGTAGGCATGGCAGTGTCCGACAGGCGGGCTGCGTCGTTGACCGCGGTCATCATTGCAGTTCCCTCCCCGCGGGTGCTTTCTCCCTGCGAGGCCGGCCCCCGCGCTGGATATATCCCGAGATGGATCTCGCGCTCGAAGATGCTGTGGTCGCGGCAAGGTGACCGCATTGCTCTGGAGCTGCGTTTCTGCTTGATGCGATGGATGATGCGGCTCACGCGTGGAAGGCGCGCGCCCCCCTCTCGCATAGGTGCGACCACGAGCATGTCGTTGCCGAAGATGAGGAATGGCTCGGAGGCCTGGTTGACCTTGAGGGGGGAGGAGAATGTGCCACTTGCGTGCTCGCTGCACCACAGATGTGCCCGGTCGACACATTCGTGCGCGCCTGGCTCCCGTCGTTCTCCGGTCCGCATCTTGTCGAGTAGGTCGTGGATGGTTTGCGCCATGGCTTTGTCAGCCTGCTCTCGTTTCACTGGGTGCTCTGGTATATGCGGGTGGTCGTTGAGGGATGGAGGGCACGTCGGCCTGAATCTGCGGTTGAAGCAACCGCCCTTGTTGATGCCGATGGCCGCGATGTTCTGGTCGGTTAGCTGCCGAGCGCAGCATGGTTCGTAGTTGACGTCGCCTGTGAATTTCCACTGGGCGGCGCCTGTCTCCAGGTTGTGGCAGTAGGCGAGGCTTCGCGTTACGTCCGCGCGCGCGGCCCAGCCTGGTGGCATTTGAGCGAGGCGAGACGGGCCAGGTCGTAGCGTTTCGCCGCGCTAGTAAATTGGTGGGGCGCATGGACTGCGGAAGTATCGGTTGGCCCCCGGCGTCGTCGCGGTGATTTGCATGGGGGCTCTGCCCGGGGGCGGGCCATGCAGCGGCGGCGGCTGGTTCGGCGTCGGGGTCGCGTTCTGCTTGTATATGAGCTGGAAGACGATCGGTATAGGTAGCGGGATGGTTTGCTGGACCTGTGGCGTGGATCTTCGCTGGATGAGCTGCAGGTCGGCATTTGCGGGAGTAGTGCGAGCTGGCCACTGTGCTTGTTGTGGTCGAGCTTAAAGAGAAGCCGCATGCCACTCGGGGAAGCAGCTCTGCGCCCAGATGATGGGCTGCAAGCCAGCGTTGCGTAGTTTTTGGCAGCGTTGAAGCAGGCGACGTGCACTGTGGCTCTTCTCGTCATCGATGAAGTATTGCCTTGGTTTGCGTGCATCGTGTTCGGGTAGCTCGTCGATGTCGGTGACCTTTATCTGCACTGTGCCGCCAAGTAAGATGCCGGCAGGTTGCTTATATTCTGGTGCTTCGTAGTAAGGTCGCTGTCCTATATCAGTTAGTGCATCTCCATCGGGAGTGAACTCGACTTGGTGGACGATGATCCTCCGCTTGGTGGCCGCCGCGTGGACGTTGGTAGTTCTGCCGTTCCTTGCTATGCATGTCTCCATAGTAGTGGCGATTTCCTGCAGCACCTGAGCTGGGCATTCGATGAGGCCGTTGTCGATGATGGCGGGCCATCTGGGACGGTCGCCGACAGCTTTAGGATCGTCACGTGGTCGATCTCCTTTGCAGGTAGTGGTGGCGTTCGGTATGTGCCCGTCCATGCCGATAGGAATGCGATGTCCCGTTGGTGGCGTAGATCCACTGGCACTCGCTGTCCTCTGAGGCCCGTCTCGTCGCAACGTGGTCCACCGGTCGTTTGTGGAGCGACGTGGCGGCGAGCGGTAATGAGGATGTAGTTGTCCGCGCATGGACGCAGTGCTTCTCCTCCGCGGGCTTCCAAGATGTCTCTTATATATGCGGCTAGTATCCCAATCTCGAAGTCGGGCGCAAGGTGCCGTAAGTGTCGGTCATCGCCACGATGTATACCCTCTGGTTGCATCGCTCGAGGTTGCCGTGGATGGATTTGCGTTCTATATATTCATAGTTGTGGCGCTTCTCCATGCCCTTCCTTCTGCAGGCGCATAGGGTCTGAAGGTTCGCGACAGGCCCCTCGCCCTTGTTATTCCACGGTGGAGCTTGTAGCAGTGGCGGGACAGTACTTGCCAGCTTATGGACGTCGTGCCATTCCAAGTTGTGGACGGGTATCTCCTTGGAGTCGCGGTCGCTAGCGGCGTCTTCTAGTGCGCGATCCTATGCGGCGGAGCGGCGGTGCGGGCAGTTACCAGGTCGGTCCATCCAGTTGTCTGCGTCGGTCCACATCTCGTGGTTGGAATGGACCATGAAGTTGTCAAAAACGGTGACCCAGTGGCGGCGCGGCAGGCGATGGCGATGCGGTGCAGATAGGTGGTGCGCAAGAAACCGCCCTTCACTGCCGCGGGGACGTTAATGTAACCCAGGTCGGGGTAGACGTACGTGTAGTTGCGCGCGAGTGTGTCAGACGCGTTAACTCCTTGCGATGGCCTGATTATGCCTGAGCAAGTGGTAGCTCGTTGTGGTTCTGCGCTGGGGTCTCCAGGAGTGTAGATGAGCGCCTCATTGTCATCGTAGCCCTTGCTATATGACATGAGCGCGGGCACTCCTAGTTGGCACTCCGGCGGGGCCTCGCTCCGCATCTTACGTGCGATAATAGCTGCATATCGTTGCTGGTTGCGTAGTCTAGGTCCTTAACCCCGTTGGCGCAGTGGAGCATGACCCCGTTGAAGTCGATGACCTTCGGTAACGCACCAAAAGTCGTCTGCCGGTATCCAGGTGTCTTCGTCTTGCTCTTGTCGAGGTATAGTAAGCCGCTGGGGACGTAGATCCACCGGAGACTTCATGGCGCACTGCGCTTGGCAATGGGCGCGCCAGGGGCGCGCTGGTCAGCTTGGGCTCAGCTATTGAGCCGAAGCTACGCTACGGTTAGTGATATGCCAGTTGTTGTTTTCAGGCGATGCACAGGTGATGTGATGGGGGGCAGCTTCTTTTTTACAGGGTGAGCGATCGGGCGCCACGGTGAGGCGTGCCAGAACCACTGCTGAGCAAGCTGTCTGTATCCTAAGCAATGGACCGTCGTGGCCCGCGCAGCGCGGGGTGGCCACCACCCGTCGTCATCCCGGCGTGCTTCATTGCCCCCTGAGGTACTTGGCCGTGTAGTAGTTGCTACATTAGACGTAGTAGTACGGTTCCAGCGGGATGTGGAAATTCGCGATGTCGCATTCCATGACCAAGTTCTCGCGGTCTCGCAGCTGTGTCCATCGGTAGTGTATAGCGCCCATGATGGCGTGAGCCAGTAGTCTGCACATCTGTGTGGCGTGGGTCCTGGCGGTAGCTCTTTCCCCAAAACCGTCGCTGCTCAGTCCCATTGAATGGCGATGGTATCATGTGCCATGATTGCATCTCCCGTGGTGGGGTAGTAGTGCGATCATCCGTCGTACTTCTGGTACTTGTATTGTGAGTAGTGTAGTCGGTCTCACGGCGGTCTGTCCAGTCATGCATTGGTCGAAGGTGGCAAGGTCCACCCCGTCGATACCAGTCAGGTTTGTCATTGCTGGTAGTAGCCAGCAGCGTGCCCATGACGGCCCAAGATGGCCCCAGGTGCCCCCCGACGCATTCTAAATCGTGACGCGGGCCTGGTCGGTCGGGGAGACCGCGGTTGGGAGCAGGGTGGCCCGAGGAACCCCCAAAAGGCCCCCACAGGCGCCCAGGAGGCCTCCAGACAGCCCCAAAAAGCCCTTAAAAACTGCCATGAGGCCCCCAAGAGGCTCTCCAAGGAGGAGCCTCCGCAAAAAGAGCTGAAGAGGATGGGGAACAATTCGTAAGGTACAGCCAAAATGTGGAAGAGGAACAAGAAACATGAGGGAGGATGATGATGATGATGATGATGATGATGATGATGATGATGATGATGATGATGATGATGATGATGATGATGATGATGATGATGATGATGATGATGATGATGATGATGATGATGATGATGATGAAGCACATGATTAGAACGGCGGGGCCGTAAGGAGTTATCACTAAATTGTCTGTTTTACTTTCCTGCCCTTCCGCCTATCAATATCAAGGTACATGGCGCAAAGCGCCAATGCAGTCATATACATCTATATATATATACACATACGTACAGACAGACAGACAGACATACATATACACAAATATACGAATGTACACCTGGAGAGAGATGTAATTATGCGTGTGTGCATATGTTAATGTATCCGCCACCGTGCCTCTGGCACGAAGCGGAGTGCCCCAAGGCTCATGCAGCACTGAAAAGGTAGAGTCTGTGCCACTGCTGCAGCCAGAATTGTAAGTCTTCGAGGGCCCGAACAAATCGCGTCCCAGGCCGTCTCGGGCCGTCTCGGGCCGTCATAGGGCGGCCCCCGTGAATTCTGGAATGCATTTCGGGCCCAAGGGGTCCCCAAGACGGGCCCAGAGGGCCCCAAGAAGCCCCCAAGACTGTCCGAAGGGCGCCGAACGATCGCCCCAAGACGCTCAAGATGGCCCCCAGACGGCCCAAGAGGCCTCCAAGACGCCCAAAGAGGCCTCCAGGAGGCCTCCCCAGACGGCCTCAAGAGGCCAAAATCATTGATTGTTCTTAGGTTGTTGGAAAATTGTGGCGTTCTCGCCTTTTCGGCTTCCCGACGCTTCCAGGCGGCTCTAGAGGCTCCCAAGACCACCCCAAGACTGCCCAAGAGGCCTCCAAGGGAGCTCCAAAATAGCCCAAGAGGGCACCAAGACAGCCCAAGAGGCGCCCAAAACTGTCTCAGAGGGCCCCAAAAGGGGCCCAAAAGGGGCCCAGAAGAGGGAAAACGAACCCAAAATCCAAGCCTTCCGCCCCAAGAGGCCCCCAGGAGGCCCCAAGAGGCGCCCAGGAGGCCTCCAAGAGGCCCCCGAGAAGCCCCCCACGAGATCCCAACGAACATCAAATAGCCTTCATAGCCGCAACCCAGGCACGGTGGCGGGATGGGCCGACGGCCATTTGAAGCACACAAACAAACAAACGAAAACTGCGTCGGCGCTGTTCGCAGGGGCGAGAGCTGGGAACACAAGGGTTCGGGGGCCCCACCAGGGCTCCAGATCTGGCCCAAGTCCGTGCCATCTGCCCCGAAACGCCGACCGCAGCATTTCAACCTCCTCTCGATCGACCGAAATTTCGGCAAGTGCCCGTATGAGCCATGAGAAGAATGGAGCTTTTACAAGAGATGGAATAACAACCTCATGCGGTGGCTTACGCGGGCCGCCAGCGCGGCACGCTACATCGGAGATGAGGACGCTCACGCGCGACCTTACGCGAGCAGCTTACGCGGGAGCTTACGCGCGAACGTCGGTGAAGACAACACCGTTTCTCCGTCGCTGGGGCCACATCTTTAACTTCAGCCGCCTTCAGCCTGCGGAGCCGCCCCCGTTTTGCGTCCGCCGCCCTCCGCTGGCCGTCCGCCGAGGAAGAGATGCCAACTCCTCCGATCCCTCAAAGACGAGGCCCTTAGAAATACAGCATCGCGAAAATCACAACCTGCGCCCTAGACAACACCTTGCTGCGGCATTTCTCGAGCAAGGTCGATCCGTGATGGTCCTGGGGCCTGGCGGCGGGCGAAAACGCCTGGTGTGAAAAACTAATGACACTCACGAACCTCAGGACCGCATCTTCCTCCTCCTCGTTTTCCTCCTTCTCCTCATCCTCCCCTCCCCCTCCCCCTCCTCCTCATCCACAGATTATTACTAATACTCTTCTTATGTTTCTTATGATTAGTAGTATGGCTATTACTCATACAATTAGTACTATTGTTCGTCTTCGTCTTCTCATTGTATATAAACAGTATGTTTAATATTATGCTGCTTAGTATGGTTATAACTCGTCGTATTGTTATTACTTGTTTTACGATTCTTGATACTATTACTACGAATGTTATCAGAATTATTAATATTACCCCTTACATTATTACTGTTATCATACTTCTGCTTCTCGTCCTCCTCCTCATCATCCACTTCCTCCTCCTCCTCCTCCTCCTCCCTCCTCTCCTCCTCCTCCTCCCCTTCCTCTTCCTCCTCCTCCTCCTCCTCCTCCTCCTCCTCCTCCTCCTCATCCTCAGCGCCCATATGTCGCTGCGCTGTTTGTCTTGAACGCGCCTACATGGGCGTGGCCGACACCAGGGCAAACCTACGGCAAGCCCTGCGCCCGGCACCCCAAGCAGACGACGCCTGCACTGTGGCAGACCCCACGGCAAGCCCACCGCGCCCGAGGCGGCGCTTGCCCTGGTGCCCGCGACGCGCTCATGCACCGTACCATCTCTGGACTCCCCTGAGGCCTCTCTTCAACACGGTACGGTGCAGCTTTTTTGGCTCCCAGGGCCTAGAAGCTGTGCACGGTACCATTCCTGGGTCGAAGATCGACAACGCCTCGGGAGACGCCAACGCGTCCGCGGACCCAAGACGCAAGGCCGCGCGTCGGACGGCGACATATATCGTCAAACTGATGGCGGCGGTGGTGACGACGAGGGTCGCGGAGGCAGCGGCCGCTGCGGCGGCCGCTGCGGCGGTCCTCTGGCCTCGCGGGGGGCGCCGGCCGAGCCTGCTGGTAGCGCCGGAGCTCTCGCGTGGCGCGCTCGGCGTAGTCCTGCGGCGGGGCGGGGGCAGGTGGGAGAGGGCATTCGTGCGGCAAGGGGAAGGGCCTGCTCCTCCTCCTCCTCCTCCTCCTCCTCCTCCTCCTCCTCCTCCTCCTCCACCTCCTCCTCCTCCTTTCTCCTCATGGGGAGGGGCGCTTGGGCGGGATCGTTACGGGCTTAGCGACTTCTGCTGTCCCCCGACTCGCGCTGGAGCCTCCACGATTTCTTCAGATTTCCCTGGACATATCTGGATGTACCTCGACTTATCTGGATATATCTCGATTTATCTGGCGATCCCCGTAAGCCGATTGGAGAAGAGTCGTCAAGCCCCAAGGGACAGCAGGGGGCGTGGAGGCTGAGCTGCATTCAACAGATCGCTGGAGAGCGGAGCGGTCCTCCTCTTCTTCCTCCTCCTCCTCCTCATCATCATCATCAGCTCATCAGCATCAGCATCATCATCATCATCATCATCATCATCATCATCAGCAGCAGCAGCATCAGCATCAGCATCAGCACCAGCATCACCATCATCATCATCATCATCACCATCATCATCATCATCATCATCATCATCATGACAATCATCGTCATCATCATGATCAGCAGCATGAGCATCAGCAAAAGCAGAATCATCATCAGCGTCAACATCAACATCATCATTTTCATATCATCATCGTCATCATCACCATCATGATCTTCATCGCATCATCATCATCGTCGTCGTCACCATCATCGGCTTCATCGTCATCACCATCATCATCAGCATCATCAGCATCATCATCACCACCAGCATTGTCGTCATCAGCACCATCACCACCACCACCAGCATCCGCATCACCACCAGCAGCAGCGTAATCAGCAACGTCGTCATCATCATCAGCAGCATCAGCATCAGCATCATCATCATCAGCATCATCATTTGCAGCATCATCCGAATCGTCGTCATCATCACCATGAACATCATCATCATGATCAACAGCAGCATCATCATCAACATCATCAACATTACCATGATAACCATCAGCGTCATCTTTGTCAGCAGCAGCATGAAACATGAGACCGCGACGCCGGAAACCGCGACGCCGGACCGCCTCGCCAGACCCCGCGACGCCGGGTCCGCGACGCCGGACCGCCACGCCGGACGCTGCTTCGCCGGAACCGCGACGCCGGACACCGCCACGCCGGCACCCGCGACGCCGGGGCCGCGACGCCGGACCGCCGTCGTCCGTCGTCGTCGTCGTCGTCACCGTCGTCGTCCGTCGTCGTCCGTCGTCCATCATCGTCGTCGTCGTCGTTATTCGCCGTCGTCGTCGTCATCGTCGTCGTCGTCCGCCGTCGTCCGTCATCGTCCGTCGTCGTTCGTCGTCGTTCGTCGTCGTCGTCCGTCGTCCGTCGTCGTCGTCGTCGTCGTTTGTGCGTCGTCGTCGTCATCGTCGTCGTCGCCGTCCGTCGTCCGTCGTAGTCCGTCGTCGTCCGTCGTCGTTCGTCGTCGTCGTCGTCGTCCATCGTCCGTCGTCGTCGTGCTCGTCGTCGTCGCATCCGTCGTCCGTCGTCGTCGCTGTCATCGTCGTCTCCGTCGTCGTCGTCGTCGTCCGTCCTCGTCCGTCGCGTATACATTGTAGGTGTTGTAATAGGATGTGGTATGTACTGCACACCCACCTGCTCGACTCGCAGGAAGCGTACGTCGTCTTGCTAGTTCGTGTGGTTTCCATTAGAAACGGATAAGTGGTTAAAACATCGGACTACATGCAGTAATATCGTTTTGTGGAATTTCATGTTGAAGCCGCTGCCGTATGAAATGGCATGTTTTCCGTACGCGCGGGGCTCGCAGGAAACGTAGGTATCTTTGCGGTTTGCTTGGCTTCGCTGAAACATGAAGCAAAACGTGTAAATATCAGAAACACGGACTTTCATGTCGTTTTCCAAATTCTAATTGTGGAGCCGTCTCAATAGGATTCCCCACTGATTTCACGATGAGTCACGACAGGTGTCGGCGCCCCGGGGACTGAGTCCCCCTCCCCGCCCACGGGCCAGGCGACCCCCGGTTGGACGAGCATGGCTTTGTTCACGAGCGCGCGAAAGTGCCAGGGGCCATTGATCACCGCGAACCACGGCACAGAGTGCGGGTCGCGCTCGTAGCGCGAAGAAGCCGGGGCAGGCAAACAGAAGCCGAAGTGCATCCCAAGTGGGAAGCCAGGGGAAGGACAGACAGGGCTGGTGGAGGCTGGGCCTCACTGGTCCTGCTTCAAGTACGGGTGTGCCATGTTCATCAGGAAATCATCCTCGACGCGCTTGTCCTGGTGGTACCTCTGGATCAACTCATTATGATAAGCAATGCGCTGCGTAGTCTCCGGGGCGCGCTTCTCGCGAGCGCCCATCGCGAGCTCCGCAAGCTCCCTGCTCGCGCAAGCTGGAGCTGCAAATGATTGACGAACGTGTGGAAGTACGGGCGCCTATTCTCGACGAAGTGATCGGCGTGGAAGCGGTGGAACAGCTCGGCCATTTTGTTTGTCAAGAACATTCCTGCTGATGCCCTCTGGTGCACATTCCAGAGACCCATGGGAAAGGGTGGCTCTTTGCGAGTTCCGCGGCGGGGCTTTTTGCCGATCCACGTCTCCTCGAAGTGCTCCAGGATCTGCGCCCCCCCGTTCTCGAACTCGTGGGCGAGCACTTCGAAGGCAGCGATGACGTCCTCCAGCGGCAGGAAGGCCAAGCATCGGAGCTTCTTCACGCGCAGGCGGAACGCCTTGATCTCGCGGCACACGGTAGCAAGCCCGAGCTTCTGCACTCGCTTCCAGAAAGCAGCTGCGAAGTGTAACCAACGGCCGCCCACGTTAATGTCTTCGAGATAATGGAGCGCTGTCTGGTAGGACGCCTCCTCGAAGTCGACGAGCAAGGTCTTGTCCGCCGCGCCCTCTGGGATGAACTCGCAGACCTTGTCCCGCATGCGCCTGTGCGCCGTGCCGCTCTTACCTGGCAACAAGAAGAAGATGCACGGGACGGCGAAGCCGTTGCTGAAGGCGCGGGTCGCGCACACTTGCGAGAACGGCCCCTGCGCCATCCGAAACGTCCCGTCGGCGATCCAGAGGATGCAGGAGCTCATGAACTCGGCGTTGACTGTGGTCCCGTACGCCACGATGCACCCGACCGCTGGGCTTGTCCCAAAGCCCCAAAGCAAGAAATTGTCGTCGCCGAGCTTCGCGAGCGCAGGCACGAGCGTCAGGGCGTCCAAGGAGCTGAAGTCCAAGGCTTGCTCGGGGTCGTCGGCGCCGTCCAGCGGTGGGGGCGCTTGAGAAGGGGGGCCAGGGGTCCGACGCGAGGTTCGCTCGTTGGTTCCTGGGTGGTGCACTTGTTTTCAAAAAGACACGCTTGCCAATGTGAATAAGAAACGTAGGAATACATGAAAGAATCTTGTTTTCTGAATTTTTGTACGGTGAAGCCGTGGCAGTATGATGTGCTATGTGTTGCATACTTGCTGGACTCGCAGGAGACGCAGTTTTCTGCGCGGGCTTGATTTCAATGGAAAAAACCAAACGTTGAACAAACATAGAAGCACGAGAATTAATATCATTTTCCGAATTCGTAAGTTCGAACCATCTCAGCAAGATTTGCCATATAGAGCACGATGAGCGAAAGGGGGGGAGGGCCGGCCGCCTCTCAAGTCCTGGAGGCGTTTCTTGGTGGCCTGGCTGCGCGCGCAAACCCGGCGCAGCTTCGCCGGCGGGGGAACGGCAGTTACGTCGTCGCGCGGGACCTCGTAGAGGGCAGCCGCTGTGACGACGGCCGCCCTGTGGCCATGGTCGACCGCCGCTCTCTTGTAGATGTCTCCCCTGCAACGCTCCTCAGCGACGCGGTCCGGACAAGGGAGGTGGGAGCGTGGCGTCAGGGTCTCGATTTCCACGTTGGGCCCGCGGATGTGCGCCTTCAGCTTGCCTGGGCAGCCTTGGGCCCCGCCTTTGGACGTCCTGTCCTTGTCGCACATTCAAGTGATGCAGCCATCTGCAGCGGCGTACCGCTGCACGTGCAAGAACCCGGCGCGGTGAAGCTTGTAGCCCGTCTTCTTGCGAGCCCGCGTGAACCCTCCAGGCGGCGGCGGCGGCGGGACATTAAATTGCGGGGCGTACTCGAAACGGCACACGTGAACCCTAACGGGCGGCGGCGGCGGCGCCGGCGGCGGACCCTAACGGGCGGCGGCGGCGGCGGCGACGGCGGGACATTCAACTGTGGGGTAGACTCGTGAGGGCACGCGTGAAACCTAACGGGAGGCGGCGGCGGCAGCGGCGGCGGACCCTAACGGGCAGCGGCGGCGGCGGCGGCGGCGGGACATCAAAGGGGGGCATGCTCGAGAGGGCACGCGCGAACCCTAACGGGCGGCGGCGGCGGACCCTAACGAGCGGCGGCGGCGGCGGCGGGACATTAATGTGTGGGGCATGCTCAAAGAGGGCACGCGTGAACCCGAACGGGCGGCGGCGGCGGCGGGACATGAAAGTGTGGGCCATGCTCGAAAGGGCACGCGTGAACCTTAACGGGCGGCGGCGGCGGCGGCAGCGGACCCTAACGGGCGGCGGCGGCGGCGGGACATGAAAGTGTGGGGCATACTCGAGAGGGCACGCGTGAACCCTAACGGGCGGCGGCAGCGGCGGGACATTAAAGTGTGGGGCATGCTCGAGAGGGCACGCGTGAACCCTAACGGGCGGCGGCGGCGGCGGCGGCGGACCCTAACGGGCGGCGGCGGTGACGGCGGCGGCGGGACAGGAAAGTGCGGGGCACACTCGAGAGGGCACGCGCGAACCCTGACGGGCGGCGGGCGGCGGCGGCTGCGGCGGCGGGACATTCAACTGTGGGGTATACTCGTGAGGGCACGCGTGAAACCTAACGGGAGGCGGCGGCGGCAGCGGCAGCGGACCCTAACGGGCGGCGGCGGCGGCGGCGGCGGCGGGACATTAAAGGGGGGCATACTCGAGAGGGCACGCGCGAACCCTAACGGGCGGCGGCGGCGGACCCTAACGGGCGGCGGCGGCGGCGGCGGCGGCGGGACATTAAAGTGTGGGGCATACTCAAGAGGGCACGCGTGAACGCGAACGGGCGGCGGCGGCGGCGGGACATTAAAGTGTGAGACATTCAAATGTGGGTAATGCTCGTGCGGGCACGCGTGAAACCTAACGTGCGGCGGCGACGGAGGCGGTGGCGGCGGACCCTAACGGGCGGCGGCGGCGGCGGCGGCGGGACATCAAAGTGCGGGGCATACTCGAGGGGGCACGTGCGAACCCGAACGGGCGGCGGCGGCGGCGGGAAATAAAAACGTGGGGCATGCTCGAGAGGGCACGCGTGAACCCTAACGGGCGGCGGCGGCGGCGGCGGACCCTAACGGGCGGCGGCGGCGGCGGCGGCGGGACGTAAATGTGTGGGGCATACTCGAGAGGGCACGCGTGAACCCTAACGGGCGGCGGCGGCGGCGGCAAACCCTAACGGGCAGCGGCGGCGGCGGCGGGACGTGAAAGTGTGGGGCATACTCGAGAGGGCACGCGTGAACCCTAACGGG